CCTTGTTTCATTTCATCCAGTTCGTTCACATACCAGTTCGTGCTTGGAAATTTAGCTGTTTGTGACGCAAAATCTGCCAAGATCGTTGCAGGCCGGTAGCCAGGATTTTGCTAAGGAGGATGCACTATAGATGTAAATCGATATACCGGTTTTCTTGTATTTTGTCTTTTGGTTGTACCGGTTCTGATTCCAATATAGTGAAGTCTGTGCGACAGCGACTGGTCCAGAAAACCAACAGGACGCAAAAGGATCTTCGCACCGTTTTGCATCAATGAAGCGCGAAAAAATAATGTCTTTTGAAAAGAGATGGAAGCTCGAACCTTGTCTCGTCAATGATTTCTTTAGAATTTCATAGCAGTTTCAAAGCAGTTAAATGGCACATGTGATAATTGAGAATTTTGAAATTTTTAGCTAACAAAATTAGATAATAGTATCTGTTGTTTTTACGTTCTAACATTCAAGGAGAAAAAATTACAAAAAATTAAAAACAGTATTTAATTTGATGCTATGAATTCTCTGATCGTTAGGGAATTTTTCGTTGTGCACATATCTGTCAAAACTTTTAGAACATTTACACCCCCCTAATCCTAGACCCTTCGCGCGGCCACTGGGGTACTCTGAGTAGCACGAACTATCTGAGGCTCAGCGAGATGTAATAAATCAATAATAGTCGCATTCCAAAACTCATCTGTCATAGTTTCCAAAGGATTTTGTCTATCTTAAATATTCGTTCCCTTGTCAATGCTTGTGTCACTAAAAGGCTGTGATTGCTATTTTTAATTACTTTTACTTTGAATACTTTTAGAAATAATCAAACATTTCAACATTTCTAGAGAATAACGACTATTTGAAGTAAGTCTGTTTTTGATTTTTTTTCTTCTCGCTTAGTATCTTTAAATGTTCTAGAATGTTGATGTATTATGTTACAGGACACGAATAAATTTTTTTCTGTCCGTGGCCGACCGACCGACTTGTTCACGAAGCATCATATGATATATATATGCAGACGATATAAATAAGCTTTAGGCGCTTGTTCACAATAATTACATTCTATACTGTAAGTGTGTGAAAGTGAGAATAAGGGCATGATTATTGTTTTTTTTAAAAAGCCCTATTGTTTAGCTGGTAATCTTGTCGTTTTAGTTCTTGCAGAATATACTTGTTTTTTCTGTATGCTAAATCTTAGCGGTGATCATTGTTTAAAAATACTTTTTCCCTCTTAGTATCTGAAGAAGGACTTTGTGGGTGAAAGCATGGCTATAACCAGTTAAGGAACCTTGTATATTGGTTGTATATCAGTAATTGATTTCTTAAGTTGTTATGATCCTTATCGATGTTTGTCTCTTTACGTTTCTAGATCAACTACTATTTTGTATTTTTTTAGAAAAATAAATGAATTGCTCCCTGAGTATGTATATTCTTCCCTTCCTGTTTCGACGGTAAGTCATTGTTTGTTTTTCTTTTATTATAGTCAGCATATTTCCTTCATTGCCGGGAACAAAAAGTGGGCAAGCAGTTTTATTAGGGAATGATCCAAAAGGTAATACATTTCTGTATACAAATGGCAATAGTGTTTTTATTCGTAATATAGATGTAAGTGAGAAGAAAGATCGAGAAGATTTAGTAATTTACTTTGTTAATACAGGGTTCCTTTTTGTCAATTACAATGTTCAATATCTAAGCATATGTGTGATCCATCGTAATGCACTTTTATGGAGATGAAATTAACTTTTTTTCTTTTTTGTTATAAACGGGATTTAGAGAAACATTTTCTCTGAGTCCTGTGTCCTCGGAATAGTTTGTTATTATAGGACCCGTCCATTTGTGATGTATATACCGAACATTCAACAACTGTGTTATGTGCAAAATATGCTCCTTCGGGCTATCATATTGCATCAGCTGGTATGTGCATTAAAAAGATGCATTCTTTTACAATTATTATTGTCGTCTGGTTTATTTCTAAGATCAACATGGTATGATTCGTATATGGAATGCAAAAAATAGAGAACATTTATCAAAAAATGTAATTAAGCCAACTGACGATTGTATTAAAGATTTAGCGTGGACTCCAGATAATCAAAAAATTTTAATTGGCGTCAATGGAAAAGAAAAGTCAGCTTTGCTAAATTACTGCTAAGAGCATAACAGTGTTAAGATATATCTGTTTCCGCAATAGGTTTGGACAGGCATTCACAGCTGACACTGGAAATATTATTGGAGAAATAGTCGGAATGAGAAAAGCAATCAATTCTGTCGACTTTAAGCCAACTCGACCGTTTAGAGCTATAACTGGTAGTGAAGATAATTCTGTATCATTCTTTGATGTGCCATCAACCCAGTTGAAAACAACACTGTTGGTAAGCTTGATAGTACCAATAAACAGTTCTGTTCATTTGTCTTATATTAAAATTAACCTTGCTTTTGGTTTACAGAATCATGAAAAATCTGTTTATGGTGTACAATATTGTCCTGATGGTGAAAAGTTTGCTTCCAGCTCAGCTGACGGACGAGTAAGTTTTGTTTATACAGTAAAAGCTTTAAACAATATAGTTCCGACAGTCCTATTTACCTTGTTGAATGAAACACCCCATCTTTTTCTTGTGAGTAAAAGATACTTTGTGTTGTTCTTGACGAAGAGCGACATATTCTACTATATATCTCAGGTTCGTTTGTAATTGTTGAATGTACATTAAAGATTATAAACCAAAATATGTCTGTACCCCTTTTTCAGAAGCATCAGTAAGATATCCATGGCTCTTTTAGCCATTGAGTGAAGTCTGTTGGTTATCACAAAAAAACATTGCACAGGCAGTATGTTTTTTCAAGATTGCTTAGATGATCACAAATTCTAAAAAGCCGTTGCTTAAGTGTCTCCTGAGTAATCCACTAGTGTACCTGTGCTGGCTGCATATCGATTTTTTGCTCTTTTGCTGATCATGAGCATATTACCTATAGATAATTGATTTTGTTCTTAAAATATTCAACAGGTTTTTCTCTATGATGGTAAAAGTGGTGAAAAAAAATCCGAACTTGGTTTACCAGCTCATACAGGGAATATATATGGTTTATGTGGGGATCCAACTAGTCAATATATATTAACAACATCCGATGATAATACGGCTAAAATATGGGATGTTAAGAACAGAAATATTATCAGGTATATTATGTATATCATTACATAAGATACTGGAATGAGAAATCCTGATACATATGGTTTTTCAGCCTATGATCATGAATCAAAACACGTCCTAAATACTCTACAAGTAGAATTTTTCGTATCACTTTTCGTCTATTGTTTTTTATGACTACCCGTTTTTTCTCTCTAGAAATTTTGCTATGGGTTGTGATTTGAAAGATCAACAAGTTGGTTGTTTATGGCAAGGAAATCATATAATTACGATTTCATTATCTGGCTATATTAATTATCTTGATAAAAATACTCTTAATGCACCAATTCGTGTTATAAAAGTATTAGTATTCTTGTTTGACTCAGGCATATTTAATATTCTTTTTCTTCCGTTTTCTAGGGTCATAATAGAAGTATAACAGCAATGACAGTTTTACGGAATAGTCAGGATGTGCGGATTTTCAGTGCTAGTTGTGATGGTATTGTTAGTATCCTTTTTCCTTTACTTCGTCTTTTATCGGATAAAAATGAACAAAAGGGATCTTCGGCTCACCTTTTAAAAAAGGATGAAGCTGAAACTCTAAAATACACTGTCTAAAATAGACAGAAACTCTGTAGAATAACAATCACCTGTTTTGCAGCTTTAGCAGTTGAAAGTACAAAGCGTTACGACCACATAATAATAAGCACGATACTAAAACAACAAGGCACAGTTTTTCTAAAAGTGGAGGGTAGAACGGACTAAAAGAATATCCAGTTTTTACGATACATCATTGTATGTACAAAAAAATTTCGTCGTTCACAAATCAGTTTTCATGGAACAATTCCACGTTTACCTTCTCTATGGGTGAGGGAGAGGGATTTTCAATGGGATTTTAGGGCGAAAACTGTGCAGAGAGAATATAAAACTGCTGCAAAGAACATAGTACGACTATCTCAAAATCGATATTTTTTTATTGTTGTTTTATTCTAAAATTTCGATGTATAACTTACATGAGGGAACGAAAGAAAAAGAAAACATTGGCCGTATGTTGATTTACTTTTTGATTAAAGATGTTTCAACTGATCTAAGCATTTACAGTGCCGTTGAAACATCTGGATGAGTGAGCGGCAAATTTTTTTGGCCGTTTTAAAAGCCAATTCAAAATAACATTTAGCCTTTTAAATCTCTTAATCGTCCTTAAGAAACGCCCCTACGAGCAGGTTTAAGCGCTTTTTCTAGCATCATCAATGACGTTATCTAGTGCACTTGTCTGTAATATAGTGTGTTCATACCTCAATACACATTTCCTTTTTTATAAAACTAAGTATATTTAACATAACTGAAAGATATTTTTGTAAAATCATTTTACAAAAATGTTTTTCAATTACATTTCGTAAATGTTTCCATAATGTATATGTTCTGTTAAACAATTTACCTTCAATCGAATCTATAAATATTGATATACCATATATTAAAGGAAGACACCTACAATCACAACAGCAACACCATGAAGTCCAGTTTAATTTTGAGAAAAATATTCCTTCGACATTATCAAAATTAAAACATTTTAATTGAGTCGGTCATTGTTTCGCCTGCTTAAAATCTATTTAAATGTGGGAGGGCTTTGTCGACATCTAATGCAAAATAAGTCGATGGAAACTAATGACTTGCGATATTGCTACAGGAAATAGGAGCTCGGCTGCACTATGAGTCGAATACTATCATTTGGATGTGCATGAATGACGAAGCGGGCGAATATAAAATAAAGAATATACTTCATGAATTGAAAAGAAATGCAAGACCTTGTTCTACTCAATGCTAGTTATAGTGATAATGCAGATAGGATATCATTTTGAAATGTGGTTTCTTCTTTAGGTGCATTTATTCCCTTGACTGAAAGTCTTGGGTCATACAAACGAAATGTCCGTCCGTCCGTCCTTCCGTGTAGAATAGTAGAGTAGTGACACCTGACGCCACTTGAACGTAAATTAGCGACATATTGACATTCGAAGAGGAAAAACACGTAATTACTACTTTTCTCAACAGCAGGACATCCTAGATCTGCGAGCCCTGAATAAAAAGTGTCAGAGATTTAATTTCACATATTTTATCTGCTGGCATCAGTTTGCTTAATTAGC